CCCCCTCCCTCCCCCCCCCCCCCCCTCCCTCCCTCCCTCCCTCCCTCCCTCCCTCCCTCCCTCCCTCCTTGGAGAAGCACATCCTCTACGACCACACGGTCAGGTGACGGTGCCCCAGGACAAGAGCTCCTCCCCCAAGTTCATCCAAGGCTGGTACCTGCTGGTGGACGCGAACCTTGATGCCAATGAACGCAACCTCGTGATGACGCATCAGTTTGTGGAGCTCGGCGCCTCCTGTGCATGGCTGGCCGAGGTGCCCTACTTCGAGATAGAGCTCTGGGTTGACTTCGTGGAGGAGCACATCGGCGTCATGGAGTCTGAGCAGAAGGCGGCTTCTTTGAGGGCGTGGCGGGCACGACTGGAGGAGTCTGAGGGCAATGTTGTCTCTTGGATTCGGCGCCGGGAGCAGCTGAAAGTTGAGCTTGCGCGGCCCACTTTGCCTGTTGCTGAGGCCCATTGCTGCCGTGCGGTTCACCCCACCCAGGTGGTTGAGGTCGCTGAGGGCGATTGGATGAAGTTGTGGGGACGGGGGGCCGGGACTACGGGACTTGTGCCTCCCCTGCTTAGTCAGCTTCCTTCCCTTCCGGAGTTTGAATGGCAGCCTACCTTTACTGCTGAGGGGCTTCTCAAGGCGGGCAAGGCAATGGCTGGTAAAGCGGCGGGGCCCGATGGCTGGACCACGGCCCAATGGTGCTTGCTTCCGATGACCTTTTGGGCTGCCCTGGCTTCGCTGTGGAAGTGCGTGGCAACCACGGGCAACACACCTTGCTTGTGCAGACGGGGGCGGGTGGTGCTGATACCCAAGCCCACGTCTGGCTTTCGTCCTCTGACTGTGTTGTCGTGTGCCTGGCGAGTGGGCACGAAAGTGGTGGCGCAGCAGCTGCGTGGCTGGGTGGACACGTGGGCTTCACACAGGGTACTTGGTGGGGTCCATGGTCGGGGTGTTCGCGATTGCTACTTGGGGATACTGGACTCACTTGACACCGACCAGCTCTACGTGCAGGAGGACTTGTCCAAGTACTTCGATGGCATTCGGCATGATGACCTCCAGGCCTCCTTGGTGATGCTGGGTGCCCCTAGAACTTTGATTTCGTTGGTCCAGGGTTTCCAATCGGGACAGGAGCGAGTCTTTACTCATCATGGACAGTGTGGCGCTACCTGGCGTCGCGTGCTTTGTGGGATCCCTCAGGGATGCCCGCTCTCGCCGATGTTGGCGGGAGTAGTGATGGCGCTGTGGGCCCAAGTGGTTGAGAACCCGGCCGGTGGCTTAGTGCAGGCGGGGTCCTTCGTCGATGACCGACTCTTGTGGTCCCCTTCGGCACCGTTGTTGTCATCTGCGAAAGAACGGAGTTCCAGGTTTGATGATGCCTATGGCTTCCGCTGTGATGCATCCAAGTGTAAGTTCGCGCACCGCTCTGGTGCTGAGGAGGTCCGTGCCTTAGCTGGTACCCTTGGCTACGAGGTGGTGGACAAACTGACCATCCTGGGCCTGGTGATTCCACTTGATCGTGCGGTGCCTCCTTCCCTGAAGGACTTTGACCTACAAAAGGCCCGTCGGCGTCTTCGATTGATCGCTGTCGCTGCTTCGGGGCTTCCCCTCAAGCGCCGGCTCCTTGGCATGCTGGTTGTCCCGATGATGACGTGGGCTGGGGGCTTTGCCTCTGTTTCGCATGGCACCCTTGAGGCCCTCATCATGGATTTCAGGTGGCTTTTGCACAAGGACTTGGCAGCGGACACTCCCCCAGTTCTTTGCTACGAGTTGGCTGATTGGAGGAGGCTCATCCAGGCTTTGCTCGGGACCTGGCTGCGCTTCGCTGTGCTGTTGGGCTTCACTCCAGGGTGCCTGTCTGGATTGAGGATGCGTCGGTTCGCCTCGCTGGGCGACGGTGGCCTTCCCTGCTGCCGCTGACGGTGGCCACCCTTGGGCAGCTTGGTTGGTGGTGCGATGACAGGGGCTCTTTCATCTGCAGGCGCGACTCCTATGGCCAGGTCCGTTCCTTTGAGGTTGGCGTCGACTCGGTGGAGATCTTGGCTGAGTGGCTACGTGATGTGTACCGCCGTCGGGGGCTGGGACGGTGTGAGCGGGTCACGAGGTCGTTGCATCGTGCTGAGGATGATGGCCTCGCGCAAGGCCTGGTGCTCCCTGGTCCTCCTGGCGATGGCCTTGCTGTTTTCCAAGGACACCGGTGGGCGTGGCGCACTGCTTCGTCTACGCTGGAGCGGCGCTGTGCTTTGGTCACGGGTTGTTCGGCTTGGCACAAACAAAAGCGGTGTGGAGTTCGCCAAGCTGCCGGGGTTGGTGCCGGAGCGGTTGGTCAGATCAAGAAGAATATTTCTGGATTAGCGACATCCCCGCGAGAATGGTGGGGAGACCTACAGGGTGGCATCAACCAAGTGATGATCACCCACGAGAACGAGACCTACGGCTTCGGTCAATGTACCCTGGACCCCGCGTCTTCATGTTGCGAGAGCTTGGCGACAAAGGCTTTGAAGGTGCACCGATCGGCTACTTCGGGACCCATGTCGACGACATCGTTGTCATCGCGAGCGAACAAGTGAGCAAGAAGATACAAGAAAGTCTCTCAGCAAGGTTCCCGATCGAAAAGTGGGAAGAGGACGTCTTCGACTACGTAGCGTCAGAAGCGCGCTGCATCGACGGCAGGTCACCGTCACCCAGAAGAAGTATGCCGAGAACCGTCTCTTCCTGCTGGACATCCCGAAGAATGTCAACGAGGAGGACCCTGCCGATGAGGAGCTCAAGGCCGACAAACAAAGCCTCATTGGAGCCTTGAGCCGGCTTGCCGCGCAGACGAGACCGGACTTCAACTGCAGCGTGAGCCTGGCCCAGCAGTTGCAGAAGTGTCCGACCAGCGCCGACGCGAAGTTCACAAACCAGGCGTCACAGCGAGCAACGATGCACAAGGACCACAGACTCGTCTTCAAGCCGATTCCGGCTGAGCACTTTGGGGTGATCGTGTACCACGACGCAGCGTGGGCCAATGCCCTGGATGCCGAGCACGACGAGCTCTTCTTCGAGTTGACCCCCGACAACAAGAAGGACCATTCGCCGACAAGGCGAGGAAAGCTAAGCATACAAACTCTCCCGTGTAGTTGCGCAGCCCAGGCATGGGTTGAGGGAGTAGAAGGAGGTCAATACCTACGATCCTTGTTCGAGACGGTGTCTACGGGAAGCCTGGTGCCGGTCGACCGAGCTCGGTCGCCACTACTCTGCCTTAGCGACTGCCGCTCCCTATACGATCACGTGCACAAAGAGGGGGTGCCCAGAGCGCGTGGGCCACAGAAGATTGGCCATCGACCTGGCCGTACTGAGACAAGCCTTGAGAGCTGCGCGTTGGAGTACTAGACTCCCACTAGAATGGGTGCCAAGCGGGCTCCAGCTCGGGGACATTTCGACAAAACCCACCGATCCGAAGGAGCGGTGGGAAATGATCGAGACGAAACTAGTCGTCCCGATAGATGGACGAGACCGGTAGAAATTTCGAAGAGAAGAATACCAGTGTGAAGCACAATGATCCTATGCATAAAGCTGCTGTTTGGTCTCGCAGTTGCGACAGAGATGTCATCGTCTTCGCATAAGCTTCACACGGTAATGCCTCCCCACAACAGCACTGATCAGGTGCCGAGCAGGTTTTGGTCCAAGCGTGGAAAAGTCCTCATCATGTCGAGGCGCGACCCGTTTGCGTAGTGCTGTGACTTAGTCTCTGAAATTTATCCTTTCTGGCTCTGACCCCATTGACGTGAAATTGTTCTTTTGGAGACACACATGCATTGGAGTTTTTGTGTTCTTTCATGCTACGCTGGAGTGTTTGCATTTTGCTCGTGGGCTCCGGTGTCAGCGAGCGGCGCATCGCCCGTATCTTGTCCTTTCCTGCTCTATGTCTTCAGCTCGTGGGATCTCCTGGGCTCTGGTGTCGGCGGGCGGCGCTTCGCCCCACGTCTTCTTCTATTTCGCTCTAGCTAAATGATTGTGACTTCAAGCTTCTGTGCTCTGGTGTCCCCGGGCGACGCATCTTCTTTCTGTTTTATATTTGTTGTGGCTTCAGCTTCTGCGCTCTGGTGCCCCCGGGCGCTGGTGTCCCCGGGCGGCGCTTCGCGCCGGCCGATGTCTTCTTCTATTCTGTTAGTTTTTGCAACTTCAGCTTCTGCGCTCTGGTGTTTGCCGGCACCTGTTTTAAGCAACTTTTCGTACAGTTCTGTTTGTTGCGGCGTGTGGGCTACATCCAAGCATATGCGTGTGTGTGTGTGTGTGTGTGTGTGTGTGTGTGTGTGTGAGGTCGGGACGACAGCTTGGGTTTGAATTGGCCAGACACGGTGAAGCTTATGTTTTTCGATGCCGTTTATGACTGCCATAAACACAGATCTCGGGACATCGAAATCATGCCGCCCCTGTTCCCGTCTTCGACGTCGTCTCGCAGTTTGGGCGTAACCTGGCACATACGGCCGCAGCCTGCTCTGGTTGGGCTGTTTACTGTTGCCACTTTGAACGCATGGTGTCAATAGTGTGCTGACGTGCGCGGTAAAGTTCAACGTGGAGCAGGGCCTGCCGGAGATTCGCAGGAGATGCCCTGTTTCTACATGAACAGTTGAAGTTGTTACGGGTGAAGGTGCCACAGCCAGCGACACAAATAAACTTGATGGAGACATTGGCGAAACATCAGCTGGGAGAGCAGGATACGCTGCAGCAGACCCTGGCACTCAGAAGAAGCTGCCAGTTGTTCTTCAAGAAGAGCGCTTCTGGCTGCCAGGTTGGTGGCTGCCGTTGTCGTCGTCGTCCTCGTACATGCATTTTGCATACATATGGTACACATACGGTATAGGTCTCTATATATATATATATATATATGTATACCCCCACTGACGAAGGAGACTTTTACAAAGGGTAACCATTACAAGCCGCCGATTTGGGGCTCCGTCATTGGAGTTTGGTTTGTTTCTTGGCTTCCGATTCTGGGTCCCGGGTTTACACTGGGATTTCGGGTGTTGAGTGAGAGCTTCAGATTGATCTTTTTCGGGTTTCCGTGCTGGTGGCATGGGCATTCCGTGGTTTGCGTATCTGTAAGTATAATTGTCACCAAGTTTATCAAAAAAGAACCCAGCAAACCATTGACAGGTGGTTTCTTTTGCAAGCTGCTTGGGCTCTGTCGACATGTTGATTCATGGCCAGTTGTATGGCTCCCTTCGACACTTATATACGCTTTTCTGCTTCCCTAACCAAGAAAGCGGATAACTAGGCGGAAGACTTTAGAAGGGCCGATGTAGATTCTTCTCCGATCCACAACTCCAACCGGGTCTATATCTAGGCATGTGATTCGGCACCCTGAACACTGAACCCTGTGCATAACTAGCCATGAACCTTCAAGTAAGGTTGATGTCGGTCTTAGGGTCTAGGCTTGAGGCCATTGCTCGCCTAGGTTCTTTCACGACGGCTACATGCTGCGGCCTGACTCTTTTTGCAGCTTAGACGTTTAAGGTTAGGCTCTGGGCTCTGGGTTTAGTTAAGATGCAACCCTGGATATTTTTCGATTCTTGACAACTTGATGTGGATCCAATATTTTCATGCTTGTACCAGGGATAATCTATCAGGTTCCTACATTGTGTTGCATCGCTTGTTCCACCAACCTCAATGTTTTGTACTGAGACGCAAGTGTCATTGCTCGGACAGTCTCAGCTTGTGTTTCCTTGTTTTTTGGGTGGACAGAAGCATAAGAAACATACAATGGCCCCGACAAAATTCTTAAAGCACAAGTTTGGAAAGGCGACCCCCCCACGAAGAGCAGTTCATGGTCAGGGTTTAGGGGCTTTGAGAGGCAGAGCTTTATCAGGCTTATCCCTGGTGAACGCCAAGGCCGTTTTTGCTGAGCAAGCTTACTGAGTACCCCCTATAACCTCGTTATAGATCCCAGAAACCCATCTTATTTCTCCTACTTAGTCAGACAAAAAAAGCGTGCAAGAGATCCTTAAACCCTGGCAAAACCCCTGGACTGAAGAGCCCTTGAAAGTTAAGCTCGTTTAAGAGCCGTTCACAAAATCCTGCGAGACCTTCATAAGTCCTTGACCCCAAATCTAAGCCTCTGTAAAACCATTGTTTGAATCAACTGCCATATGAAGCCCCATAAAGCTTTACAAGACCCCTTTACCTTACAACCTGACTCCTTGTTCTAGCGCCCTGAAGCTTCTAGGGCGATGATGAAGCGCTGCGCTCGCACTCGGCAGCGCGAGTCGAAGCCTCGAGGTCTTTTGGGGTTTTAGGGTTTGGGGCGGAGGGCTCAGGGGCCAAGAGGTTTACGGTTCAGGGTTTGGGCTGAGTGCTTGTGAGAAAAAGAGAGAGAGAGAGAGAGAGAGAGAGAGAGAGAGAGAGCGAGAGAGCGCGAGCGCGAGAGCGCGAGAGCGAGAGAGCGAGAGAGCGAGAGAGCGAGAGAGCGAGAGAGCGAGAGAGCGAGAGAGCGAGAGAGCGAGAGAGCGAGAGGGCGCGAGAGGGCGCGAGAGGGCGCGAGAGGGCGCGAGAGGGCGCGAGAGGGCGCGAGAGGGCGCGAGAGGGCGCGAGAGGGCGCGAGAGGGCGCGAGAGGGCGCGAGAGGGCGAGAGAGGGCGAGAGAGG